TCACTGGAAGACTCTTGTTTTGATGCAAATGAAATGTATTTATGCAATTAAAAAAAAAAGGTTAATTGGGGCTTTAATCAGCAATTTTGGGTACGACATACTTCCCACTTTCTTCGCTCCTTCACTTCTCCGTTTATTTGGCGGCAGTGCAGAAGAAAATGAAACTCCTAAGTGTGGAAAAGCATGTAGACATGTGACTCGCTACCCGCTCTCTAATGTGACATGGAAAGGTATTTTTTTTTGCAGCTCCATTCATGAAAACCCATGCACAATGCATGCATTGCACTTTTTACTGCTTTATGTAATAAATTGTGTCAAGCACAGACGCTTTCTCCCTCTTTGATATCTACGGAACACAGAGAGCATTGTATTTCCTCGAAACACTTGCGCACAGCCTTCACAGTGCGTGGCCAACAACGTTCCCGGTAGTTTGGGAACAGACTGTGTCCACAGCTGCCACTACAACACCGAGCTGACAATACATTGACTCATCCATGGAAAGTGAAGACTATTACCGATTCCCTATCTGCGACTAGCCTGGAGAATAGAGACACTGAAAAAGACATTAGAAACCGCATTCCAGTGTATAAAGGTTCAGTTGTAGCACATCAGCAAATGTTTATTGGTTCCCTGTAGTCAAATATGAACATTTTGATTAATTTGGAAGCATCACTTTTAATCTGGTTTCAAACAGCATATTAGTCCTATGTAATTAAGTGGTTTATGGTTGTATAGATGCCCAAACAGGGTCATTCACTAGCCGATAAAAGATAGTTTTACACCTAACTGATGATCACTTCATAATGCTCTGGCGCAATTCTGTCACCACACAATTAATTTCATCAAAATTCTTCCCACACGATTATATGTGCATTTAACATATTTTAGGTATCTACCTGAAAAAGCCTTCCTAGACACCCAAAAGCCCCAAGACTGCTGCTGTGCTCTGCCATCATGGACATAAATGTCAGTAGAGATGCAAATATTCCAGACATTGTGAAGCAATAGCTTCCACTGCTATCAATCTTGCCAGGGAGGAGAGAGACAGCGGCTACAGCCACTGCTCTCATGCACACTGCTGGATCAGATCAGGTTCAGGTAAGAATAGGTGGGGCTGGGGGGTGGATTGTGCAGCACATAAGGTTTTGCACTTTAATGCATAGAATGTTAAAAAAAAGTTTTGTTTTTTTTTTTTACCAAGTTTTCCGTTTTTTTCTCCAGGCCTTCCCATCTCTAGATGTCAGCAGAACCAACAGACTCACAGCTGTCACCCAAGTGACTTTCTATAGTGGTCCCCTCCATTCCTCTGCCAACAGCCACATATAGGTATGTAGGGAGGTACAGGGAAAGGCGGAGAGATGCTGGGCCAGCACAGACAGTAGCAGGGGCGGACTGACAACTCATGGGGCCCCGGCAATAGGAGATCATGGGGCCCCTGTGTCCTTGCCCAAACTCAAAAAAGCCTATGAAAAAGGTACCAGGGGCATCTCATGGGACCCCTACTTGATCCCGGTCCCTCGGACAGTGCCCGAGTTTCCAAATGGCCAGTCCGCCCCTGGACAGTAGTGAGACTGAATGTGCATACTAGCACATTATGGCATAAACCTGCGGAGGGCCCATTTAAAAAAATGTTTTACATAGTTTATTACCACTCTAACAGTGGATGGATATTAGCTTGGATATCTAAAAACCAGGATGCAATGAGGTTGCTGTACAAAATGATGTATGAGTACATACATGAAGTTCCCATACCTTTTCTATAGCCCCTATTGTCAGAAAGCTTGGGACTTACACCAAATGACTGGATTGGTCAGATATGGTCAACCCCATGCATGGTACATTGAATGTCTACTCTTTGCTGTCTTCTGGGCAGATATACAGAAAAACAGTAAGCTCCAATACGCTGGCAATAGCTTTTATACGGTGTACCTTTCAGCTGAAGCTTCCTATGTCAGGCAATAGGACCTTATATAAACAATACTAATAAAGTGTAAATCTAGCTTCAATGCTAACTTTTGGATAGCGAGCCCAAGGATTAGAACTTGTCAGGTTCTAAAAAAAAAAAAAAAAAAAAAAAAAAAAATATTTTGATTGGTGTTCCATACGAATATTAATGTGGTCACGTCATCAAAAACTCTGACATCAAATAAAGTGGCATCACAACAATTGTGTTTACCCACTTACTGCGGCATTTTTTACGATTTAAAAACTTGTAAGAGAGGAATGGTGTAAGGACAGGTCCTTTCTGAATTAGGCTGTGCTCACCGGCAACGCAGGCAAGCACAGGCAAACACAGCAAGACCACTACTTGCTGGCTCCAATGAACCTTATTAGCAAGTGGGGCTTGGCTAGCCTTGGCCTCCTAAACTTCCATCTACATGAGCCCAAATGAAACTTTAATCCTAGCTCTGTCTAAGCAGGAAAAGAATAAAAAAAGGATAATTTAACTTAAGTTAGTTTCCTTTTTATTCAGACATTGATAAGAGACGACACCATTTTTTTATCAAGATTACATGACCCCTTTAAATTCTTTGTACACCTTTCAGCTGTATACCACCCTCCCAAATACAGAAAATCTGTTCCTCATGGGGCTCTGCTTGGGTTTGAATTCAGGATCTTGCCAGGTTCAGCCCATCTGAATAACCCATTGCACTACTAAAAAACATTTACAGTAGATGGAAAGGCTTTATCAACACAACGTCCTTACTGATACTTCTAGCAACGCTCTTGCATTTCTTACCATTTAATTTACTATATAACAACCACAAAGTAAATATTTTGATATTTTATTTTCAGAGGTCATGTGACTGAAACCCATTTACGCTATTTATCTATAAAGTGAGCAGCAGACGCAGACTTGCTTCTGCATTACCATCAGTACCGAAAGTGAATACAGCTCAAACACCGCTCCTGAATGCCAGAGTAAAGGAAAGGAGGAAGGAAAGAGTTGAATGTGATTGAGCACATGGAGATATGCCAGACCCACGCAAACAATGGAGATACATACACATTGGAGGAAGCACCCAATGTGGAAACACATAATGAGGTGCAACTGCTTCCAGGTGCGATTAAAAGGTGGACACATCAGCCATTCGAAAAGCATATGAAAAGCATTGTCAGTCCAGATAGGAAATCAAAACAGATTCAGGAAGAAAGTCAAGATCACCATGGAAACAACCAAGGCTGCAAATAAATATGCATGTCAATTTTAGGTGAAGCTTGCAAAGACAGATTTTAATTTTTGCATGGAAAGACACCTATTGGACCTTGGTGTGTTGGCTACACAGCTGACCAGAATGCCCAGGACCAAATGCTCAATCGCAGGGCAGGCTCTGATGGAAGGCCAACAGAAATAAGCACACAGTGAATCTCCACATTTTAAGTTCCACTGTGGGAAGGCAGGGCCTGTGTGGCATATTTCTGGCAGAGAATCTTGAAGCCTGGGAGCCGACTATGACATTGCTGTGATTCAAAAGAAATACTCCAAGGCCATGGAAAAATTAGAAATACATCTAAGTGGAAGGCATGAAAAAAAAAAAAAATTAAATCTTTCTTGCAAAAAAAACAAAAAAAACAAAAACAAACTAAGATGTCCTATTTCCTATGACACAAAGCTAAACTGGACTTTCACTTCCTGTACATAGGGGTATATAGACCACAGAAGGAAATGCCTATCCTTCCTCTTAGTGTTCATCCTCCAAAGAACAGAGATAACTCTACTGGTATGCTGTGTTTCCCAATAACCTTTCAGAGACCTGCTGTTGAAGTGGTGGTACACATGGCGCACAATTACACACTGTACAAAAACTGTTTATCTACTGATACCATAAAACGGTAAAAAATATAACAGATGCCAAACCTTATGGCAGCAAACTTACTTTTCCATGGAGCAGGTCTTTTCTAGCATGTCGGGGAGCTCACTGATAAGTTCTGTTAAATCGTTTGTGTTACATTGTGTGACCAACTTGGAAAGTAGTGCAATTTCCTCAGAAGTCTTTTCAAGGGTCTCTGTGCTTAACGCCACCTTTACCAGTTTGTTCCAGAAGGCTTCCTTCAGAATATGAAGAACTGCGGAACTCACTAGAAGAGCAATCATATTAAAACATAACAGTGGTGTATATGTCAAGAATTATTTTTCTATTTAACTTCTCAATAGCCAGCGTAAAAAGAAACAGATTGTAATAAGACTCTGTTTTATATGCTATAATTTATTCCAAGCCTCCCATTTATACACAAAATCTCCTTAGCAGCAAGCAGTCACTTCTAATTCAGAATATATATATTCTGGATTCTTGAATCAAGATACCAAAAAAAAGAAAAGATAGAAGGAGCACATGTAGATAGTATAGTAATAAATCCTTAATAATGTAGAAAACAAGCTATAAATTGCACTCACACATGAGGCACATGTATGTAAGTACGATTCATAGCATTGATACATAAAGACTTATTACTACTACAGAGGGGCGAAGAGAAAATTTTCCTATAACTGGGTTATAATCCTACAAAAGGAAATACAAATGTATCCTGTATCACTGCACCTCGTATTAACCATACTATAATAGTACATGGAGCAATTTACCTTTGGACAGCTGTGTACATTGGAACTGTTCTCTGGTCTTCATGTAGATGTTGACTATTGACACAAAGGTCTTTATGTTCTTCCTCAGAAGCTTCTCCTTTCCAGGCTTCAAGCACCACAGCTCAAACTGCAGCTGATGAGCCCTGCTGCACTGTACCAGCTGAGCAGCAACACCTAGAGAACTCGGGGTTCTCTTATCGAGGCAATGTGTCAGCACATTGACTCCCACCACATGGGCAAAGGCAGGTTCTCTTTGTAGAATATCTGACACCAGTGGTTCTAGGTCTGTTCCAGCTGAAGATGACAAAAGCCGTCCGATTCCTCTTACTTGTTCCACCCAGAAGGCTAGATCCTCTTGGCACTGCTTCCTTTGGTGACGATCACTAATCAGTTCCACCAACACTTTGCCATAACCACTCAACTGCTGCTGATGTATGGACTCTTCACTGTCCACCAGTAAAAATTCTTCTGGAAGCTTCAAAAAAGCAATAATGAGCTGATTCAGCTGAGTGGTATTCATGTATGAATGCAGGCTCTGTAAAGCTTCCAACTGATTGGATAGTTTAATTGGACTCTTCTTGCACACGTCTAACTCTTTTAAGACACTAATTGAGATTGCTTCAAAGTATTTGGACAAGAGATGAAGATTGCCGCTTTGTTGCAGCAGAGGAGCACTGGATTTAAGAAGCTGGATCAGTCCCTTGTTCATGGCAGATGAGAGAAGTTTAACACTGACAGGGTTCAAGTTGTGAAGGGGGACAGACTGGCGCTGTAAAGCCAGAAACCAGGTTTCCAAAATGGGGTGTTTGAAGATTGCAGACAACATGATGTCTAGAATCTAAAAATGAAGAAACAACTCTAACATATTAATTCCAGGTTTGTTAATCCATATGTAGTTATGACAGGATGAAGTAAGTAACTAGTGCCTCAAAATGTATATTGTGCAAACAGGGATTTGAAGTGTATCCTGTCAATGATTTAAAGCCCAACTCTGTGCAAGTAAAAAAATATCCCTTGCGGCGTGGCTGTGCCTTCATTGCAAAAGTTAATTGCTCGTTTTGGTAAAGAGAACTACTAACATAAACCTTTGCTCCTCCCTGCCGCTATACCAGTCCCTGCAGGCTCTTCTCCCCCACACTGCAGCAGTCTAGAGTCCTTGAATCATCAAGATCAAAGCAGGGTCCATAGCCCTGCACTGGACATGATACCGCCGAGGGACAGTCCAACACTGGAGTGTGGGGGAGTGCCTTCTGCCAGGGGAATGGAAGAGCAGGTAAGTAAAACGGTTTCTCCTCACCACTATACTAAACCAGCTAATAACCCTTGAAGTGAGCACAGCCCCACTGCAGGGATTATTTTTTTAGTTCTTTGGAGTTAGGCTTTAAACCAATCCTAAGAATTGTATAATTCTGCACACCACTAATCGGCAGAATTGGAAGTTCATTGCCTTGCAGCAATAGGGTCCTCAGTTTAAATCCTGACCAGGACACAACCTGCATGGAGTTTGTATAATTTCCCTGTGGCTGCATGGGCTTCCTCAAAAGTACTTCAAGCGAACATCTGAATTTGAAGCATATCTTGGCAAAGGTTTAAACCAATCATAAAAATTATAAAATTGTGCACACCAATAACTAGCAAAATTGGAAGTTTACTTGCAAATGATATTTAGAAACTGTCTGTAGTACTATGCTGACAAATATGCCAAGTATGTTACAGTTTATCAGTGTATTCTAATTGGATGATCTATGGAAATCATCCAATAAAACTGGAGTGATGCCTGTCATGTACTAAAGATGTCCACTCTTATTTAATTACCGTATTCCCAGGAGATTCCAGTGTGTTGCTGCCTTCAAGAAAAAGTTCAGATTCCTCATTCATTTCCTCTTTGTTCTCATTCCGGCTGTCCTCTACCTGCTGGTACTGGCGTAGAAGATGGCCAAGAAGGTCCAGGTAGAGGCTAATCAACCCTGAGCCTGTAGACTTTTTATACTGAAAAACAGAAAGCATCAGTTTTTAAACTTTGATGGAAAAACAAAAATGCTGTTTTGAAAAAATTCTGTAAAAGTAAATCTGTTACTAACGTGAGCAACTCAAGCATAGCAAGTTGATGAAGAAATTTACACACATTATGTCGAGTGAAAGCTACACGTCAAAGCATTCAACTGATACAGACAAATTCAAACCCAAGTGATTCTGCGCTTAAATAGAAAATGTAAAACAAGCACAGGTATAAGATACTAAACCACAGTAAACATAATATATAAAAGTGCTGCACTAAACACCATATTCAAAAAAGTGACAGTCCACCATAATCAAATGAATGTCCACATCAAGAAAATGTCCATGATAATGGATGTGCTTCAAACAATAGGAGAAGATAAAGACCCGCTTATCCAACAGGGCTGCAGAGAGAGTGACACTCTAGGTTAATTCTGGTGACCACACGCGAGTGAGCCCTTACAGGAACTTTTGGACTCTCAATTTAATGAAAAGCCAAAAGCGCGTAGAGGGATCAATCCCACAACATATTCATGCTGGATGGCGGTACGCCACTCTTATGGCTCCACTGTACCTTCACTCTTCATCAATAGTGGTATATAGAATACATAAAAGCCAATAGTGTAAAATGTTCCAAAAGAAATAGCTGCCATGTTTCTTCACTCTGCTCTTCCGCATAAAAGCCAATAGTGCATTACATTTCAACAGAAATAGCTGCCCTGTCTCTTCACTCTGCTCTTCCTAGGAAGAGTAGAGTGAAGAGACAGGGCAGCTTTTTCTTTTAGAACGTGCTGCACTATTGGCTTTTATGTATTTCATATACCGCTACTGATGGAGAGTGAAGGTGCAGTGGAGCCATAGGAGTGTAGTACCACCATACAGCATGAACTGATACAGACCGCTGATAACGTATTCAAATCTCAACACTTTCCATGAAAAAGTAGAAACTGCCCCACTTCCTCCCACCTCCCTTTTAGTCCTTTGGCGAGGTGGCCTCGTTGCCCTATAGAATGACTTCAGAGGCACGAAATGCTTAAAGTGGTTGTAAACCTCAGACATGAAATATGAGCAGAGCATATCCCTCTATAGTGTGTACTTGTCTCAGTGTCTATTGCCTCCTTCCTCTGTTATCAGCATTGAATCACTTCTGACAAGTTTTCCTAAGACCAAGAGAAAAATGGTGACAGGGGAGGGACCTCCAGCAGATCGACAGCCTCAGCTCTGTTCCTGTGTGCTGTGTGGAGGGGGATGCGTTACTTTCCTCCAATCAGCTCTCAGAGTTCTCCTCACTGAGTGCAACTTCAGCTCCCCGCCCCCTGCTTTTCAGAGCTGAGAGATTTTGTGCAAATTCTGTACTTTGAATGGATGTTGGAGAAATACGGCTATAGATAATCAGGTAAAACTGATGTAGAATGATTTGTTTCATCTCTGTGCATCACCTGGGGCCAGTCACTTCATTGGGTATATGCAAGGGTCTACAACCACTTTAAGCCAAGCAGAACTTTCCATATAACATCACATGGTTATATCTCTGCATCTACTGATCACATATACTTGTGGCTTTCACTGAATGTAACCCCCACTTTGGCAGACCAAGTAGACCAAATCCTTCTTGATGCCATTCAGTGACACATTCATGACAAACTACACCATTCCTAGCCGCAAAGATTCTAATGCGCCTTGTCCATCTTCATTTCATGCCCTGCTCTGACATGGAAGGGAGCAGCACAGTTCCATCTGCTTGTATGTAAATGAAGCCAACTGGAGAAGAGATAGACTTGTGCTGGCTGCTGGACCGGGGAGACAAAGTTATTTATCAACCCTCTCAGTGGCATCACCTACACAGAAGCAGTACTCCCCTGACAATCTCCTATGTGGTTGGAAGTTTAAAGTAATCCTAATGGACATTCAGATATTTTCACACTCTAAAAGAGACCCTGTCATCATATTGCACTTAATTGCATTTGTTGGTTGTCATAGGACTAAACGTCAAGGAAAGCCACCATCAGCAGCCGTAGCATGCCACAAACCTGACAGCTCTGTGCTTGCTGGAGCTGCTGATATCAAGGCAAAGATGACAGCCCCCAATGGCAGGCTGAATGCAATTTCAGCAACTGCAGAAGAGGGGCTACTAAGCTACTAGTATACCCTTAACTGAAGATTGGTGCTTTTCTAGCGGGCATGCCCATCATCTTTGGCTGAGCTTGGAGTTTTGGGAGGACCACACATACAGTGGTGAAGGAGAAAAGTGGACATTGACTTAGCCAGCCTGATCACTCAAATCAACCCTAGTGGTCAATGAGGTGAGACAAGGTATAGCCAGATCACCCTCACATCTATTTCATATTTCAATTTTAATAAAACTGGAGTATTCCTTTTAAAATAGCAAAAGGCAGATACACAATTGTACTAGTCTCAGCCTCACAGAAATGACCAGACAGTGATAGATGTACAAGCACAGAATGACAACTGAGCACCTTGCTGAAGTTATCTACAGTAGTCTTGATGCAGAGCAGTGTATGTTTCACAGTCAGTGGCAGCTCCTCCTGTGGGGTCTGGGAAATGGAGTCTTTCAGCTTCTGCCTAGAGTCATCATCCGTGTACCCGTGCACAAAAGTCTTCTTCAGCAGCAAATTAAATGAGGATCCACTATCTTGTTCTGGAATCTCCATCACAGATGTTTCTTCTCTGAGGAACTGGAACAAAGAAAAATCTTGTTCAATGTAAGGTGCAAAATAAATGTTTAG